TCCGGGTATCCAAGTAGTAAGGTACTATCGAGTAGACTATAACTGATATAATGAGCCATTCGCAGTTTCACAGTACAAAATTGTTTATACTTAGACATGCATGGCTTAATCTTTGAGACAAGCGTATGACTACTGGCAGGATCAACCAGGTTTATATCCTCCATACTAAAGAAGACGACAAGTCGCCCCCAGCACAAAACAACAACACAGAGGCCAGCCGCAAACAGCCCCGCAACCGCCGAAACAGTCGCTAGGCCACTCGCAGCTTTTCTCAAAGCCGCCATTAATAGCCGAGAATCTTTTTGCACAGAAAGACAAAAATATGATCCTCACTTCAACAGTTCCACCTAAAAATAGGTAGATCAAGAAGCGAATAATAGAGCACGACGCAGCATACTTTGGGTTGTAGTCCCCTCCGCACGCCGCATAACTAGCCCCAGATCATAAACGGTTCTATCCGACATGCGTATCCGATCATATAGATCCGTTGTCACCCGCGTGATGTGGGCCAACTCATCGTCGGGACGCCGAGAGAGGGCGTCCGCAAGCACGTTGAGCTTGCCCGGCTTGTATTCGACGCGGAAGTTGTATTCCGCGAAGAAGGACAGCCACCTCGCCATCCTTTGGAGAGGTGAGGCGAGTTAGTCGCCGTCCTCAAGGACGCGTGGTCTGTGTAGATCACAAAGGGCCTATAGCCCAGAAGATGAACACGAAACTACACAAGGGCATATTTCATTGCCAGGAGCTCCTTGTCGTGGACAGGGTAGTTCCGCTCGGCGGCTTTGAGCTGCCTGGACTGAAACGAGATGACTCGTTCGTGTCCATCCGTGTCGTCCTGCAGCAATGCACACCCGATGGCGTAATCGGAGGCATCGCAGACGACGCTAAACGGCTTCGTCTCGTCCGGCAGGGCCAGGACAGGGGCCTCTTGGAGACTGGCCTTGATGCTGTCAAAAGCATCCTGATGCTCCTGCTCCCAGCGCCAGTCGACGTCCTTCTGAAGGAGGCCCGACAAGGGCTTAGCGAAACCCGCGTACCCTGCGCTGTACTTGTGAAGGTAGTTGGCCAAGCCCAACCACTTTCGAAGATTCTTCTGGGATCGGGGGCGTCGGTCATGCTGCTATGGCCTTGACCTTGTCTGGGTCAGCCCGAACGCCCACGTTGCTTACGAAGCAACCGAGAACTTTAATCTCTGGTGACGCGAAAACGCACTTGTCGATGTTGGCGTAGAGCTTGTTCGCTCGCATTACGTCCAACACTCGACGGAGGTGTCCTAGGTGCACCTCCATGATCGTCTTGCCTCCTTCGGCACGGCTATGGACGAATATGTCGTCGAAGTACGTCTGTACGAAGGTACGCAAAGGGCGGAACAATTGCGTCACCAGGCGATTGAACGTCGCCGGGTCGTTAGACAAGCCCTGCGGTATGACGAGCCACTCCTAAAGCATGCCGCTTGGAGTGCTCACCGCGGTGAGCGGGAAGCCGCTCTCTCGCATCAGGATTTGGTAGTATCCGTCTACCAAATCCAGCGCACTGTACAGTACGCTCCCGGTCATGTTGTTCAACAACACATCCTTTCGTGGGATTGGTGTTTGGGCCGGCACCGTTGCGTTGTTCAGCTTGTTATAAGCGTGAACCAGACGCCACTTTCCGTTCGGCTTACGAACGCTGAAAGTCGGCGTCGAGTGCGGGGATTTCGACTCCCGCACCATGCCTGCCTTCGCTTTCGCGGCGAAGAAGGCATCAATGACCTCCTACTGTTCGCGCGGGAGAGGCCATTGCCTCGTGACACAATACTTTGTGCCGGGCACGAGATCAATCTCGTGCCGTACGCCTCGATCCGGTGGGAGTTGGGTCGGTGGGTGTTTATTCACCACGTCCGCATACTCCGTCACCAAAGGATACACCGGATCCTTGGGGTTCTTGAGAATCTCAGAACCCAAGCGCGCCTGACGCTGCTTGTTCATGTCTTCCAGGATGTTCTCGTCCAAGACAGAGGAGGAGTTCAGCTCCTCCTGAGTGGTCTCAGGTCTTATGAGTACCATCTCAGCGATCTCTCCAGCCTTGATGTTGTGGCCAGGAAAGACTCAGCCGTCATTTCCTCGAGGTTCAGTATCTCTGCAACCTCTGGCAACGGTTCCAAGTGGACACCAGATGCCTTGACGGGTAAACCCGTCTCGCTATCGAAGATGTGATAACACTCTTCCACCGGCCTTGTCGGAGGAGCCCAGGCCCTGGACTCCGAGTCGCTTGAAGCGACGTCGATCGGAACGAAGTTCGGATCCGACTTGAGGCGGCGGCGGCGTCTTTGCCGACGGCGTCTGTGACGGGGAGCTTTGCTGCCCACGTCTAGGGATGTCATCGCTATGACATCCGAGGCACTCGTGGCCTCGTGTGGTACTATTGTACCCACACCGGGAAGCGTGTTCAGCGCCTTCCTCTTCAGTTAAGGTCTGGGCGACCGCGTGTGGCACTGTGTTACCCACACAGGAAGCGTATCTGACGTCTTCCTCTTCAGTTATGGTCTGGGCAACCGTGAGTGGAACTCTGTTACCCACTCTGAACACGCTGTTCTCAGTGTTCATGACAGCTGCAGCTGTCTGCGGAACTAAGTTACCCGCCTGTGGACCTAAGTTACCCACTTGGCCGGCGCCTCTTCTAGGCGCGGCCACCATCAAAGCATCCTCGGAGTCGTCATATACGTCGACGACTCCCAAGCATCTGCCGGATGCTTTGA